CATCCCATCCCCCTCTGCCATCAACTATCATCCCAACCTCCTCCGCCGTCTACTACGACCCCATCCCCCCTCTGCCATCAACTTCCATCCCATCTCCCTACTGCCATCGACTATCATTCCATTCCCCCTCTGCCATCAACTACCAACCCATGCCCTCACTGCTCATCAAATACCATCCCCCAATGCTGATCAACTTCCAGCCGCCTAACTTTTGTGGTTCGAGAGTTGAAAGTGCGGGACGAAATGTGGGACACACACACAGGCAACGCCGTGACAGTGTTGTAAAGCTATTGCACTGCACAAGGCGCATAAAAACTAGCAGAGCTGATGAGAGCGATTTTTTGAGGATAGATTTTTGGAATAAATGCTGGCATTGGAGCAAAATGAGATTCTGTTCGTATGGAACACACGCCACATGGTTCGGGGAAGTATGACATCAAGACCGGTTTCAGGAATTCCCTTATTATGCGATTTTATTGCGTCCGAGAGGGAAACTTCAGTTTTGCTCGAGGAAAAGGGTTGAAGAATCAGTTTGGGTACGGAGAAGCCTTATCTGCACATACTAACCTCCAGAGGCTGGGAGGTGGAGAAAACGGGTATCCAAAATATATCCTGGAAAAAAGTGTGAATCGCAGGATATACAGGCATGACATTCTCAATAAACATCAATATAATATTTAAGAATCATCATTTAATTATGCGGAACCGGTTTACCCGCATAACCTTCCATCCATCTCTCCACCGATCATCAACAGTTCGGTCTATTCTCCGAATTTCTCCTCCCCAAAGCCCATACCGCTTGCTGCTTCCCATAATTACTCATTTGTTACAACTTTTTTGCACGCAAAAGTTTGCTATATTATTTATACATTTTTGATCAAGGTCATCCGGACAGTCGATATGGGTATTTCATTCTAGTGGTGTTACTGGGATGCTTCCACATGCAGCTATGCCAGGCCTTTCATCTCACATACCGGATGCAGCTATAATTACTCCCAGTTGACAGCCTTTGCCCATGTAATGTATATGCGTCACCGCAGTTAAAAGTTTATAGAAATTTCTGCTTCGAATTTATTTCAACTGCATTTTCTCCGTAAAAGCATGGATGCTTGTTCTAAGAAGTGAAAAAATTGTGCTATTAATGTTTTCTTTTTCCAAGGAATAGGTATGAGTAAACTGTAGAAACCTGGTACATGGTGTACCAATTTACTAGTAAGACTAATTGAATGGCGACTATGCTTGACCGACCCAACTTTTGTGCGTTACTTCATACGTCAGAGTTGCTGATCACGGATACGGATACGGAGAGTATGAAAAGGGCTCAGGAGGGTGGTAGGCTACAGAGGGCAAAGGAGGGTTGAGGAGGGTTGGCGATGTATGAGCACATTTTGGGCGTTTGATTCGAAACACACCTCAAGTGTTATTTAAACCAAAGGGAGAACAAACGCAATAAATTGATTTGAACCGTGATGTGCCGGCCTGAGAATGCTGACTTCAAATTCCACAATATAAAAAAAATATCAAGATCGCCTGGGCAGTCAGTTTGGGCATCCTATGTCAGTGGTGTTACTGAGCTAGGCGTAGCTGTGCCAGTGTCCCAGAATTTATTAGCAATAATAATGGTGGGTGTCACGTTTTGCAAACGAATTACACTTTGATAAAGGGACACCAAGTTTAGCTAAAACTAAACTGTGTTCATCATATATTTCCTTTGCTTTTTCACATTTCTGTTTTTTCCCTTCTCCTTCTAAATGCACATCGCAACCATTGTGTTGATAAGATTCATTTGTGGCTCTAAGCTAATTTTAAGTTTACCACTTAATGGACCGAAACGTTTTACCTCCAGACTTCACGCACACACACGCTCTCTCTCTCTGCCTTGTCATGCTTCCCGAATTTGTACTTTCCATTTTCATTTTAATTTTCCAAAACGCAAGTTTTTGACCAATGTATTGATCACTTATTTTCAAGGAACAGGGCCAGCAAAAAGATTATCGTACATTTGCTCTCCACCTCTGTATTCCTAGATGTCCGCGAACTTTGGACCTCCCAATATTTTGGAAACAGTACGTTTTTTCTAAATTTCCAGTATTTTATTTTGCGCATCAAAAATTGTGCCGAAATGAACTTAAGGTGAGGGGCTCGAAGAAAAGGGTTGGGAGGGAGGTGGAAGTGGAAAATGGGACCATTCGAGCGCGTGGGAGAATTTGGCAGAAAACCTGGGATGTCCCCACTCTTTTCCTCATCTGTCAGAAATTTTGATACACGTTTTTCGGGTTAGGCACGCCTTCTCCTCGCTCACTTGCCCGAAGTCAGGTGCGCCACTGATTGATAAGTTCAAAGATTGCTGTACTACACAATGGGAATTTCGAAAAACTACAGTAGTTGAACGCGGCTTCCCCGCAGCCTTCATCACATGGTCACTTTTGGCTTTTCTTAAATTTTTACTGAATTTTCTTAAATGTCAAATTTTCTGTGACTGACAAGGAGTTCAGCCTGGAATACCAATACAAAATGAAGACATTCCGCCCAGAAATACCACAAAACCAGGAATATGAACTCCTACTGTCCGATCCGCTCCAACGATCTTGAAATTCATTTAGAGTCCTGTTTCATAAAATCCAAACTAAGCAGCTATTCGATTGTGACAGTATGCTTTATGTTTCCTGTGTAGTTGTAGTACCGTCTGTGTAGGGAATTGCAGGATTTTTCAAAAAGAAGCAATGAAAGGATACACTTTGCTCCTAGGACAAAAATTCTTCTAGAGCGGACGAAGAGGAAGAAAGTACCACTGCGTCCATATTGGTCCTGTTCAGTATTTGTCATAGTATACTTTTCTCCCAGCTATACAGCTAGCAATTTTGCCAATTGTTCCGCTCAATTATTGCATTACTTAGTAGACAGTTCAGCAGCAGATCGCCACGGGTACCCTGTGTTAATGTTATTACTGGCATGCTTCCGCAACGCCAGGAACGCTCATGTCAATCATTCGATCTTGGATTGCGTGCTTACAGTCAGTTAATTACCGCCTGTATGACGGTATGTGCGCCATCTTTTTGGTGATCTCCGAATGGTCGTTTACTTTCTCGCAGGTACCACTCATTTAAGGCACGACATTAGCAAGGCGAGCAACATGCTCTGTCTGACGGATTTCGCTTCCTCGCGTAGTCACAATAATATCCAGCATGTCGATAATTTGACGCAGAGTCTGATGTGGTCACGAAGTGGTATTGTTATAATCATTTAAGAAGTGAATTTTTCTGTTTTTTAGCTTCTGGAGACTGTCTATGAGTCCAGAATTCGGTAACTATTGGAGGTGAATGAATGACTTATGATGAGTCGTAGCGTTATTACTGTGTTCGCCGTTTTAACACTCATTAATGTGGGTGCGTTTTTTTCTCCCATGTATTTTAATTCTCATCACATTTTTCTTTTCCAATAACCCTGCGAAATCTCGGGAAAAACCTTTGAGCTGATAATCTCTTCAAGAGATGAATCGTTCTTTACGAGATCGCCAGCAGAACCGCCACCAGGCAATGCAGCATTGGTCAAAGCAAATGGAAAGTTGCCAGCAGCACAAATTTGACAGCCATGCAATGAAATAAAAACTGATCGCACTATGAAAAAAAGCAAGCCTATTTTTGCTTAAAAATATTACATGTAAAATTTTTTAAGAATTTTAGTGCATTGTGTGTCGTTAAACGATTTGTACGAAAGAATACAACGACGCAACCAACTGAATCGCAATAGCGAGTACCACGACCTACTATTGACACCGTCTCGATTACATCCACACGCACATCGTGCTGCGCGTCCCAGAAATGCTGTTGGCTCTGTGAGGTTTGTAACAAAAATCCGTCATCTAACCATCAGGTTGATTATTGAGCCCCTTTTACTGTATTTCGAGGTACCCAGCGCATAATTTTGTATACATTTCTTGAGATTTTCTTTTTAACACTTTTCAGCTCCATTCGGACAGTTCTAAGAGTCATTTGATTGTGGAAGAATTTTACAGAAAGCCCTATAAGCCGAAATGAGAAAGCACTACACATTTAATAGATAATTTATTATCATTACTCAGCGGGAAATTTTACCGCCCAACCGATTACCCAAAATATCTTGGCAATTTATCAGTGTCGATGGTACACATATTCACTGGGATAACATGTATGATGAGGCTCATTATCCGCAACCGTTACAGAGGCCGCCCAATTCATTCACGTCAGGATACCGAATTTATCGATGACAACGGTATTCCAGTACCAATTCTTGGAGAGGCAACGTCTCTGAAAAGTGCAAACAGTGGTCGAAGCGGACGTCTGACGCAAAGGAACACTTCATTTCGTTGGACAAATAACTGACCTCATTTTGGACTCACCGCAATACTGTGTGATGTACCGATTTTCTGGGACAAAACAACTGAATTTAACATTTTGTTAGCAATCAGGACTGGAAAATATCGTACTACTGATAAAATATGACATCGCTAAACAGGCACGAAAGTCGAGAAAAACGAATAAATGTAAAGTAAATGAAAAGAGAGCGCAATATAAGCGCATAAATATAAATATGTAATGGAACATAAACATATTTTACCAAAGAATACTACGACCATTAGACAGTCAACAATACCACGACTACCTGGACAGTCAGTGTGGGTATCTCATGTTAGTGATGTTACTAGATCGTCCGAGTGGTCGTTTACTTTCTCCATGGTACAGTATGCTAGCAGATGGAAACCTAAAGCAAAATTCAGAACACATATGCTTTGAATCTTAAAGCAATTCTGCTTTTCGGAGTTTATGGATCTGCACATCATCCGAAACTATGCTTCCAAAAGTCCAGCCTCCGAGCTTCCACAGCAAAATATCGATTTTTTGTGCATTCAACTAAAAAAAAAGTTGCCTAAACAGTAGTAAAAATAATGTTGTGATATAAACTGATAACCGATATGTAAAAATACATTTGTATTCAACCAAACTATAATTTAAAAAGATCGTCAAGAAACGGGAGGGCGCAAATAATGATTTCACATTCCTGTAATTCGTAATTTTAAACTAAATTCTCGCAACAGCAAAACACTCAAGAAGTACTTTTTCCTGATTTTTAAAAAAAGGCATAAAACAAAGGATTTCGTAGGTGAAACTCTGAAGACAATTTCTACAACATAGTCAAATCTTTTCAAAATAAATCAATTGAAAAATCCGGATACAAAGAAAAAACACATGGTCGCTAATATTTTCAACATTTTTATAAAAAAAGAGAAACACGCAAAAACACAACAACCAAACCAGAGCCAAAAACAACTGAGTATTTTTCATCAAACAGAGGGAGACAGCCTGAAGTTTATAAAAGTGATAGTAATTCGAAAACAGCAACTACCCGTTCGAAAGTTTATTGATGGATGATAAGAAAACTCTTAATGTGTTTATTACGAGCTCTTTCTCTCCCACCGTCACCTTCTCTCCCTCCCACCTTCTTCCCATCTCCGCACCCTGCTCAAAAACGTTACTAATACATTCGAGGACTATTGTTAAACCAATGACTGATGACCTTAATTGCACCTTTTCTATCCTTCATATAGTTGAGATTCAATTTTTTCGCTCCGTATAACTCTTTGGTCACAGTATGCTGTTGCTACTCATTCTTATCATATCTTTTCTAGAAAGAGGTATTTCCTTTACCTTGTAAACATATTTTCTTCTCTTAAAGTACTGGCACATATTCATATATAAGCGCATTCAATATGTATTAGTGGAACGCTAAAATCAACTGCACTCTTAGTAGAATCAATATCAAGCCCTCCAAGCCATTAGTGCCGGTATGCTCAGTTAGTGATATCACTGAAATGTTCCCACATGATGGAAGAAATTGTGCCAGGCTCTTTGATCCTATGCTCCATATCACCAGCTGGTAAGCACCTTCTGTTCGATGTACGCGCGTCACCTTTTAAATAGTCACCCGATTAGCCGTTTACTTTCTCACGGGTACCACTCACGGATGCGCGACGCCCACCGGTTGTAGGCAAGAAGCTAAGTAACAGTCTAGGGAAGACAGGGTTCAAATATGCTGCAGAAAAACAACTTCGGTGGGAGAGATAAATCCCAATGTGAAATAAGAGTTCAAAAATCCACAACCAGCCATGTTTGGATCATGCGATGCGTCTACTAAATGATACTAGCAGTGGTGATAGGCCGTGCCAGTTGTTGAAATCAAGTGATTTCTCTAAAGAAAGCTTCGATCTTCAAAAAAAAAAA